CACACACACACACACACACACACACACACACACACACACAAACATAACATCACCTGTTCTCGTCTGAGACCTCCTCCGTTGACTTGGAAGTTTCTGTAAAATAACATTATGAAAAATAAATGAACAGTGCTCTCAGGTCTGTATTTTTTTCTGTGATTCAGTGTTGGTCATTGATCAAAACTGCTGTCAAATTTGATAGAGTGCATAGTTACCTTGTTTTACTTCCTCTTTTTTCGTCACATCCTAAAGAACAGTACAGAGACAGTGAAGAGATGCTTAAACTGTGAAAGGTGACTCAATGTACATGCATGAACACAAACTCACTGGTGCTGCAGTGGAAGCATTGGTCTGGTCCTCCTCTGCCAGCTTCCCAGGAGATGCTGGAGGCTGGGGAACAACCTTTATCACCCAGCTAAACATGCTGTCAAATACAGATCAACACAGCAGGTGTCAAAGTCAAATAAGGATGTTTAAGATATTGAAAAAGAACCGTCCAAAAAGCAGTGTTGGGGAGTACAAAAGCCTCAATATACATTTTCAAATAGCATGACAGTAGTTTGCCTGTTTCTGTCACTGAATAAAAAACAAAACAAGGTATGAATGTGTTGCATTTGAATTTGCTTACAGCACCTGTCTTAATTTGAAACCAATCAAACTGTTTCTCGCTCTTGGTCACAGGGGTTTTGCACCAGCAGGATCATGGTTGTTTGTGTCGGCTTGTGTCACTGTTAATCACCGGTAAATGCATCTGACCCTAATCTCTCCTAGCTTGAACACCTGTGGAAACAGACCAGGCCAGCTTTACCTGTCTGCCCACACTGCTCCACTTTACACCTGAGCAGAGAAAGATGGACGCATGGAGAGCACTTTGTTTTGCGGTGGTCTTACTGGTGGGCTCTGTTAACTCTCTATTCCAGGTCAGACACTGCGCTGTACAACATTAGACATGCGATCTGCTTTGAATGCATTCAAACCAAGACTATACACTCCCACAACTGCAGATTTTCACGTTATTCACTTAAAACTCCTCCAATCCTGTTTGGTCCAATGATCAGATTCTGTTTTAGCAGCAATCCATGTGCAGCACAGCCAACAGAAACACAACTTCACATATACACCGAGCCAAACGAAGAACAGTTGCATGATTATGAGTGAAATGCAGGATGCAGAAGAGGCTCGGAGCAGATGGTGAAAACACTGAGCCATGGAGGAGATTCATGGACTGGTGATTTGCTGCTAGTCAAACCAGCTGTCAGGAGGTTCATACGGGTTGACATGAGGAAATGAGCTGTGACCCACTTCAACTCAAGCATTCTCTAAAAACTGAGTTACATTTCTGGACATTCATGGCATGGAAATTCAGTTAAATATTCTGGTAAATATGATAATAATATCATATGTAAAATGTAAATATTAATATTTTGGTAAATATTATTATATTAAACATGATTAAATATCATCATACAATTTATTTTATTTTATTTCCAATGAATAGAAAATGCTTTACAATCAAGGTTCCATTTTTTTAACATTAGTTATTTGTTAACATGAACTAACAATTAAATACTTCTAAAAAATACTTCTAAGGCTTTTAATTAATGTAAATTTCAACATTTTCTAATATATTATTAAAACCAAAAGTTGTTATTTATGTGTCTGAACTAACATGAACTTACAATGAACTAACTGTGGATTCACAAATATTGTAAAAAAAAAAAAAACAGGTTAAAAAAAAAGAATACTGTATTGCTCATTGTTAGTTAACGTTAGTTAAGGCATTAACTAATGTTAACCAATGGGAATGTTAAGCGTTACCAAAATAATTAGTCTTTCTTTACCTTTCATTTTTTAAAAACTGGTCTGGTTGTTATGACCCACACAAATACTCTAAAAAAGATTGGTGTAGAAATAAATTTCACTCATAAAGTGCTTGTAAATTTCACAATTAATTACAAAGAAACGGCAAGTAACGCATTGAATTAAACATGACATTTTCTTGTAAAACGTACTCCAATAATCTTTTATTTATAACTTAAATATATTAAATGTATTTATAACTTTTAATTTTTAAAGTGTAGTATCTGATAAATAAGCACTTGTTACTAATTTGCAAACATAAATAATGTTAGTTTTAAAGAATAAATGATAAAATGACTTGCCATACCTCGCCTGCATCAGCATCGCTGAGCATTTAGGGAACCTTAATGGGTTGCCAATCTCATATATTGGGAAGACTTTTTTTGGATGCAAAACACACCATCCGAAGCATCCTGATCAACCATTAATGCATGGCGTATGAGGTTTTCAAAAAAATCTTCGATAAAAAGACCTTCCTTACAGCGCATCATCATAGAAACAGAATCATCGCGAATCATGCACAATCGCACTTAACGCTGCATGCTTAAATATACTGAGTATGAATAAAAAGGTACACAACACAATGCACTTACATTTGATTAGGCGGTCGGTAGGGTTTAAACCCACGATGTCTGTGCTGGACATTCTCATGGGTTGTTGTAGATAACGGGGAAAGTGCGCCGACTCCTAACGGGCGAGCGTGCGGTCTTCGGTGCTGCGGGATGCGCGGGCTGCAGAAGCCGCATCACTTGGTGCGTCTCTCCTCCGTCCACCGTCGGTCAGGGGGAAGATGTGTCGCAGCTGATCCGGGGAAACAGTTATGCTGGAGATGCTGGACTCTGCCTGGTGCCGTGTGGGGGCGGATGGGTAGACAGATAGATAGATAGATGGATGGATGGAGTAGCAGGAGGGGGGCTGGGAGACTTCTGATCGGTTCAGGGTATCCTCAGCGCGTTGCAGCACCACCCCGACATGGCGAAGACAGGAACTCCCACTCTCTGGCTTGCAGGGACTGCCTCATACTGCCATCACGCGGAGGCTGATTCGGGGTTTCCCTGCGCACGAGATGAGAGAGCGCGAGCGCACCCAGGCCTTGTTGCTGCTTTATTGACGTCAGTCTTTTTAATGCTTCATGGCGTAGAAAGTCAGAAGGCGACGTAGGATTCGGACTGTATTATGAATGTTGCAAAAACAACCAGCTTATGTTATCTTTGTTCTTTTCTATCTATCTATCTATCTATCTATCTATCTATCTATCTATCTATCTATCTATCTATCTATCTATCTATCTGTCAAATCAAATATTGTACAATTACCATTTTGGAATGCTGCTTCATTAACATAAGTACAAAACAATTCATGGTTTCCATTGTTTTTGGGCACTGCACCCATGGTAATACCATGGACTTTTGAACATGTACCATGGTAATACAATGTTATTTTTTGAAATAACATAGAGTAGCATGTAAATAATGTATGATATATGAGTCATTCAATAGCAAGTTATCAAAGTATCACTTTACCATGCTACTACAACAACACAGTGCGTTTTAAATATACCACCTGGTCCATTTTGATATGTTATGCTTTCATCACTCTAGTTTGCACTATTTTGTTGTCATGTATTAATAATCAGCAATATTTTTTTGTGTTGTATCATTAACAATTTCCTTTAAACCCAGTGTGTCAGTACTGTTCTGTTCTATTCCTCCATTATGCCTAAAGGCCTGCTTTTTTCAGAGAATGTGATTGTCTGAATGGGGTAGATAGAGGGCATAAACCTGTGCAACGGGATAAAGATATCACAATGAAACAAGGTATTTTAGGAATATAGGCCGATCGTTTGATCTTTTTAGATTTGTGTAATCAGGATTATGTGAGGATCAGACAAAAGCAGCCTAAAATATTTGTTATTAATTGTTTGGACAATCAAATATTAGAAATGAGAACAAAAACAGGCAAGGCAATAAATAATTACAATGCATCAGATTAAGTCAAATCAGATAGATAGATAGATGATTTAAGGAAAAATATGCATGCTTGAATTTGAGCTATAGAGGTCATGCAGGAATAAACATAAAAACATACCTGTAAAGTGCATACAGATTAATGTGGCATGGTTAAAATAATTAAGTTCAAATGATAAAAATGTATGTACAGCAGTGGTTCTTATTTACGCACACATGCCCTCATCTATGAACGATAATCTCGTATTTTGCCGCGATAAACCATTATCAAATATCAAATATCCCTCCGCACTGGTGAAACTTCCTCTGAACGAGGGTATATGTGTTATTGCCATTCATGTTAGAATGGAATAAACTGTTTTGCTCATATGAATATGAGTCGCATGAACACCACTTACAGTAAACATCTCGACATATCATACTTATATCCTCCTTATTCTCTCCATTCTATTACTGAGCTGGCCATCAAGCTCGTTTGTCGGCTCTGAAATGGAAGCGATCAAATACAGGCTTTCATTTGGGCTCTATAAGCGTTGAAGTCGCGGAGCGCGATCCGCCATCTTGGCACCGCTATTGCATCAGTTTCGTGATTCACTACCGCACTATCTAGCAACTGGCGTCGGCGCGCAATCTGTCCCCGGCGACTGCGTCCATTGGCGGAAGGATCTGATTAGAGCAGCGCAGTGTGAGTGATGCGGTAGCTGCTCGCTGCCGCTGCTGCAGGAGGAAGGACCGAACCGCTACCAGCACCACCTTTCAGTTTCGCCTTCAAATTACACCAACCGGCTCCGTCACACACAGAACACCGACGGGCTCTGTTAACTCTCTATTCCAGGTCAGACACTGCGCTGTACAACATTAGACATGCGATCTGCTTTGAATGCATTCAAACCAAGACTATACACTCCCACAACTGCAGATTTTCACGTTATTCACTTAAAACTCCTCCAATCCTGTTTGGTCCAATGATCAGATTCTGTTTTAGCAGCAATCCATGTGCAGCACAGCCAACAGAAACACAACTTCACATATACACCGAGCCAAACGAAGAACAGTTGCATGATTATGAGTGAAATGCAGGATGCAGAAGAGGCTCGGAGCAGATGGTGAAAACACTGAGCCATGGAGGAGATTCATGGACTGGTGATTTGCTGCTAGTCAAACCAGCTGTCAGGAGGTTCATACGGGTTGACATGAGGAAATGAGCTGTGACCCACTTCAACTCAAGCATTCTCTAAAAACTGAGTTACATTTCTGGACATTCATGGCATGGAAATTCAGTTAAATATTCTGGTAAATATGATAATAATATCATATGTAAAATGTAAATATTAATATTTTGGTAAATATTATTATATTAAACATGATTAAATATCATCATACAATTTATTTTATTTTATTTCCAATGAATAGAAAATGCTTTACAATCAAGTTATTTAGTAGTTATTTGTTAACATGAACTAACAATTAAATACTTCTAAAAAATACTTCTAAGGCTTTTAATTAATGTAAATTTCAACATTTTCTAATATATTATTAAAACCAAAAGTTGTTATTTATGTGTCTGAACTAACATGAACTTACAATGAACTAACTGTGGATTCACAAATATTGTAAAAAAAAAAAAAACAGGTTAAAAAAAAAGAATACTGTATTGCTCATTGTTAGTTAACGTTAGTTGAGGCATTAACTAATGTTAACCAATGGGAATGTTAAGCGTTACCAAAATAATTAGTCTTTCTTTACCTTTCATTTTTTAAAAACTGGTCTGGTTGTTATGACCCACACAAATACTCTAAAAAAGATTGGTGTAGAAATAAATTTCACTCATAAAGTGCTTGTAAATTTCACAATTAATTACAAAGAAACGGCAAGTAACGCATTGAATTAAACATGACATTTTCTTGTAAAACGTACTCCAATAATCTTTTATTTATACATTTAAAAAAATTTTTTTTACAGTGTAGCGAAAAATCAAACATAAAACAGTAAACAAAATACCATACTAATAAAAAAAACAAAAAAACACTCACAATGTGTGCCTATCAAATGGACATTGCTATGAATATTTCAGAGTCTTGCATGTTAAATGTTGGCAGACTCAGTATTTACCTGCAGTGTTCAGCAGAAGACGGTCATCCCAGAGAGAGGCTGAGGCTGAAGGACGGCCAGGTGGGAAGTGGAGGGATTATCCATGAGAAAGCACAGCTAACGGGATTAGGCTTTCTCTGGGACGGATGCAGAGGGAGGACCTGGACTTGGACTTTATTAGCTTCACACAATCCTTCTTGGAGCTCAGCCCGTATAGAGCCACAGAGGGGTACGTCCAGGACAGAGAAACCCCTCAAATAGTAGCCAGTGTAGTGCAAATATAAATTGTGCTTTATAGTTTGATGTGGGCTGGTTTGGTTGTCTCATTTAAGATTTACTTCAATGCATTATTATTGTTATTAACGTTTTCAAACCTGCACAATGCGAGTAAATCACTTGCATATGCAACCACATTTCACATCAGGCAACTAAATATTGTCTGTCTTTAGCCATTGGCTAGTAAATTGTTATATTTCACTTGCTAGTGATAGATTAGTAGTAGCAGAAGTCCTATTTCATATATTGTAAAACATAAATGACCAATCATGTCTAAAGTACCGTATTCTCTAAGTACTGATTTGAGTTTCAAATTATTAAAGTTATCATGCTTTCAAATTGTATCACATAGGAATGTAACTTCTTAATTTATAATCTCTATAAGTATCTTCTTAAAATATAATATAAAAGGTATATAATATATAATAATATTTGTGGGCGTCAAAAGCCTGTCATATAAACTATAAAAATTTGTTAGATTTATTTGCCAGTGTGTGACTGTAGAGGGTTGATTTTCTATAAAATATAACTGGAGATTAACTGTAAAACAGTCAATTTTTTTAAAAAAATTGCATTTGATTGCAATTACCATTAATTTGGATTAAAGTAGTGTTAAAAAACTGAAAGTGAAAGTGAAAAAAAAAGACAAAAATTTGTGTAGGATTTACTGAGACAGTTCTCACTCAGATTGTAAGTCATTTCACAAATAATAATAAAAAATAGCAATAATGTACTTTAAAGGGGTCATATGATGCGATTTCAAGTTTTCTTTTCTCTTGGGGCATAGAGGACCTACAATAATGTACAGTATTTGAAAAATTATGTTTTTTGAACATTAAAGCATGTCAACATATTCTGTTACACCAAATACACAAAATAATGATCTTTAAAATAGCATCATATGACCCCCTTAAAAAATATTTTTACAGTGTTCCATTTTTCATGAAGTACCATTTCATCCTGGGATACAGTATTATATATATATAAAAAAATTTTTTATTTGTAATTTTCCTCATGTGCTTACTTGTATATATAAACTAAACTGTTCAATGTCACATTTTATTTCTAATGCATATATATATATATCTTACAGGTTTCAGATCATTTCACTTATAAGTTAAGTTCAGGGATAATTTTTTAGCTTAATTCTGTTATTGTAGTGTCATTGATATGCTATTATATATTTTTTTTGTTAATATTTTGAATTAAATTAAATTTTTATATGGTTTTCATTTTAAATTTAGTTAAAAATTTAGTAATTTTGTTGCATGTTTTTGTCATTTTTTTTAATTATTAGTTATTTTAGTACTTAAGCTTAAACTAAATCAAATTGAGAAATGTTGCTTTGGCAGCTAGCTGAAATACAAACCCAATTCCAAAAAAGTTGGGACACTATACAAATTGTGAGTAAAAAAAGGAATGGAATAATTTACAAATCTCATAAACTTATATTTTATTCACAATAGAATTGTGAGAAAGTGAGACATTTTGAAATGTCATGCCAAATATTAGCTCATTTTAGTGTCCCAACTTTTTTGGAATCGGGTTTGTATAATACGTTTACATTTTTCATTTCAGTTAATTTATTTTAAGTAATGTAGATGTTTTTCATTAGTTTAGTTAATTACAATAACCATGCCTGTACTTAATTTCTTCTTGCCTAAAGGACAACCTGTCTCATTTCACCCCTCTGAGATTCATTTCATTGGTGCAGTTATGGTTTAATGTGCTTGAAAGGTTTAAAGCTGCAGGTGAGTTTGTGAGCATGATTCAGTGAGATATTATTGCTCCAGGAAGACATCCTATGGTCATAAGACAAACATACTAATATCCTAATTTATCAGGTCTTTGGGGGCCCCTCAAAATAAACAATACATTATAAACAAGCTCTGATATTAAGAACGATTCCAGTGTGTTTTCCGCTGCCCTTCAGGTGCGGTGACTCTCTCAGTCTGTTGCCATCACCTCCCAATTTGCCATCTGGCACATATTCATCAGTGAGATAAGATGCCGTCTCTCTGCTCATTTTTACAAATTCTCAAAGCCTGAGATGAGTCACTTTCACCTCTGCTCACAACCCTCTCGAGTCTGCTTCATCCCTCCTTCCCATATGTCAACCACCCAGCCACTTATTACAGCCGCCACATCACATCCCTGAGAGGAGGAAACTTCACACAACGTCTGGATACTGTGGAGCTGATTATCTGTCCATCGTTTCAGACAACCAAAACCTAAACAAGAATTTTGGAAAATCGACTTTAATGATTCACTGGAAAAGACAATATAGTTAAAGGAATAGTTCACCCCAAAATGAAAACTTGCTGAACATTGGTTCCTCTGCAGCGAATGGGTGCCGTCAGAATGAGAGTCCAAACAGCTGATAAAAATATCACAATAATCCACAAGTAATCCACACCACTCCAGTCCATCAGTCAATGTCTTTTAATTTTGTTTTTAATTTCTCCAAAACTGTACCCATGAAGAAACAAACTCATCTACATCTTGGGTGGCCTGAGAAAATGTTTTTTTTTTTTTTTAAAGTAAATTTTCATTTTTGTGTGAACTATCCCTTGTAACAGACAGATGTGTAGCATTTTATATCGCATATTTATATTTTGGTGTATTTAGTAACAGCATTTTGAGAAAACTACTTTTGTGTCCCATGGCAAACAAAATATTGTGATGTGACGTGTGGCCAAGTATGGTGTCCCACACTCGGGATTTGTGCTCTGCATTTAACCCATCCAAGTGTACACACAGCAGTGAGCAGTGAACAAACACTCACACACACACACACACACACACACACGCACACGCACACGCACACCAACACGCACACGGACACACGCACACACGCACACACACACACACACACACACAGGTTTGTTTTTGTCCTCATTTGTCACAAAAACGCGCGCACACACACACACACACACACACACACGAGTTGGAACCAAAAGTCAGAACCGAATGAAATGTAATAATTTCAAATTAAGTAAATGGGCCAACTGCATTTAACAAATGCAATTGAAAACAATGTCAATGTTCATAAATACAAGAGTATCAACTGATTAACTCCATGATACCAGTATTCCAAAATAAGGATTCAGAAACATGTAGAGTACAAAAGTTGCTCATTAAATAATTTGTTTTAAATGTTTTATTGTCTATACATAAATATATGTGTGGTAGAACCAGACTTTACTTTAAAATACATAAACTTAAGTAAACGGCAAACAATGACATAGAGAATAAATACCTGAGACTGTAATCTTTATTTATTTTTTGGTGAACCTAGTGACACTTGAGCTTTAAGGCATGACATGATGTTTTGATGCCAAATGTAGCCATACAGGTGTGTGACAGTACAACAAGCACAGGTGTGTGTGATTGGCAGGCTAAACCGTAGCGTCTTTATGGCCTGAGGGATTACGTGTTAGTTTGGCTAGCAGGACAAACCACATTGAAATTCAGTGTCAGCAAAACAGAGGATGGATCATCCCAGTGTGCTGACAGCTCTGACACAGTGTTCTCAATATTCTCTGCCATCTCTTGGTCTCTGTGTGCTTCAGAAACCTCAGAGGATTCACAGCACAGCACTTTTTTAACAGTAAAGCTAACATAACTAATTTAAACGAACAGTTTTTAAGCTGTCAGCTTACAGGGATAGTTCACCCAGAAATGAAAATTGTGTCATCATTACTCACCCTCATGTCATGTCGGTTAAACAAAATGGAAAAAGAGTAGCTTGGACATTTTGTTTTGTGTTCCAATGAAATAAAAAATGTAATTTGGGTTAGGAACAACATGGACTAAATTGACATTTGTTTTTGAAAAATGCAGATATTTGTTTTCCTCATGTGAGGCTCGTATAAGACTTTCTTCCACTCCTCTACAAATAAACACATGCACAATCTCCTTAAGTGATCAGAGGCTGTAATCCAAACAGATTTGAGTCTGTGAGAAGGGGAAACGATATGCCACACATGTGAGATGGGTCCCTTAAAACAGTAACAGGAAGACAATGCAGCTGAATTTATCAGCCAGTGAACGGGAAAAATGAGGAGAGTGTTGGGTAATCAGGAAGCAGCAGGAGAGCCGCTGTCAGAAGAGTCCATTCAAAAATGATCATGCCAACAATATGTGTTATTCCCTCTGATAGCTTCACACAGATTTGAAGGGTAAAAGTTCAACAAGTTGTTTAAGAGTGTACCAGTAAACACACGTTCAGTGTGTAAGTAATGCTGCAAACCTTGTGAAAATACTTTTTTGTACATATTGTATCGTCATTTACTCACCCTGATGTCATATAAATAAATGAATGTGAGTATCATATTTCATATTTCATCATATCAGGTTTTTATAGCTCATATAGTATGAGAATATGCATATAGTGGAACTTGAAGAGGAAAAACCACGAAATGATATGCAATTTAGTGCAGATGCTATTTATATAGCCAAAAAGTGATACAATTCTGAAAGTTTGTAACGTAATAGAAATATCAGTTATATATCCCAATAATATGGTTTAATAAATTTAAGAAAGCTGTATTTTTATATTTAAATGCTTAGTTTTAGGATCAAAGCTCTGTAGTTTTATTGTTGGCAAAACATAAAATGTAATGCAAAGGAAAGATTAACAAATAAACGTTCCTCAAAAGCCAGATGGATCATATTTGATACATTTTTAACATCATTTTTCTAAAGATGATGTATGAGATAAGTGGTTTCAGTTCAGTTAGTGTTCATCTTTAAATATTACTAGCATTATAAAAGTTATTCTTACTTCTACTTTCTATGAATCATTCATTTCACAGCAAAAAGACATGTGAACCACAACCAAAGTTGGACATTTTCAGAATTATACTAAAATTA